TATAAAACTGTAATAGATCAACATTAAATGTCTGAGTTTCAAATTGGCCAATCGCTAAGTTGATCGTGTTTAATATTGGCTAATTCCCATTACTAGCCTCTTTTGGATGAATCTGTAATCTTGTGAGGAAAACTTGCACGTGGTGTCTCAATGCATCACCATCTGCAGCATCCAAAATAAAACCCAGTGGAAATATTAAACATCAACTTTTGTCTTTGATACCACACTGTGTTCAATAAAAAATGAGAAAAACCCTGATGCACATTCAAATTTCATAATGTCTTATTGTCTAAATGCAAAGACACCAATAGGAAATTTAAAAAAATATTTTTTTGAACAAACTAAAATGACTAATTAATGTGGAAGATAAGTCATTGTGTTCCAAGCACTGTTGATACTTTTAAAATTAAACAGAAATGACTTCAATTTAATAAATAAAAATCATTAAATCATAAAAAAAGTTTAAAATACAAGCAAACATCAAAAATAAAAGATGAGAAATATCGTTTTTGCGCTCTCTGCTATACCTCAGACTGTCACTGTGCCCTCTGCCAACAGGACTTTTCTCATATTTCAACACACATTGCTGTAGCACGACAGCAGGTTTCTATCTAAATAAATACAAATAATTAAGTCCAGCAAGATGAAGTTCCCACAATCAGACAGGATAGCTGCACCCTGAACAACCGCGGCCCCACCAGGCTGGGAGACACTTCCTGGGATGAGCTGTGACAGTAATTTAGGCAGCAGCCAAATAATATACAACTGGCATCTCTCTAGGGTTGCACCGCATGAGTGAGCAGAACAGATGAGCGTAGCAAAAAGGAGCGAGACTAAAGGGAAAACAAACAGAATGGAACCATGGCTTTTAGAGTCATTTGACCTTTCTCTTTAGCGTTACCTTAGGGCACAGAGAGTGATCAACAAATGGTTCTGCACCCAGCAGCCTCCTCGCAGTGCTGATGTTGTCTGACTGCCACCAGGTTAAATGAGTAAACAATGAATCAGTGAACTACAACAAATAAAACAGATTTGTTTAATTAACAAGGTAAGTAAGCTGCATGACTAACATGTATGCCCCCGTTTATTCATAAACATGCACACTTAAAAGGCATTCAGCATAGGCTACAAATAAGAGTTTTCTCGGAAGTTAGAGACCAAAAACTGCAGAAACATAGATGCACCTGGTTATTTTGTCCTTGTTTGAGGACAAGAAAATGCATTATTGACATTTCCCTGAGTCCTCAGGCGGCTGAGAAAATGTCTTTTAAACAAACAAATTTGCACAAAATCCAGATTTCAATTTTCCATCAAATCCTAAGAACATTATCGTCAAGTAGATCAGAGGAAATGGTTATTGGCAGAAATTGAAAGGCTTTGTGCTGAATGAATTTCACTGAGGAAGCAGAAACATAGCGTACTGTAGATGCACGAGTTCGAACTTAAAAGGCTTTAAAAAGTGATTTGTTCAGAACACGATCATCTCTAATAAAAGGCTGAGTTAACTAATTATTTCAATCTTGCAGCAAGGTACATTACCCACATGTCATAAACTCATGTACTGCATGCAGGTAAATCCCTCTCCTACCATCAACTAAACAGGAAAACATGCAATTCATGTAAACAATTAAAGGAAAGTCCATTTTATTAGCTTGGTACTATTTCAGCAGTCGCAAGATCACAGTTTCAGTCACAACAATCACGAACTTGGCATGTACCTGCAGACGCTTTAATCCCCGACCATAAAATCTAAAATGTAATGCCAAATAGTGCTGCATGCAAACATGCAGGAAATCTGCTGCAAAAGCAATACAACTAATAAATAAGAACAAAAAGCAAGAGATGATTTGGCCATTTCCAAAGGAAACACAGAAGAAAACAGTGAGTCAAAGTTGTGAAACTGTACCAGAGGAAATTGATCCACTATTGATCAGAGCGTGTAACTGACTGAAGAGCAGAGGGACCAAGTGAATGCCATTCAGGAGTGATAGCAGCTTGAGCCAAACAAACGTCCATTTTATTTTCACACTTTTGTTATTTTGGAAGGATACTGTTCAGAGAAAATGAATATTTAAGCATAACAGTCAAGTAAATTGATTTTAGTTTAACAGACATAAAATCTTATACAGTGTAGTTACATTCAGTTGATTGCCAATACCTAAAATTATAAAGTAGTTCATGAATTTCGGATTAGCCTCTGAACAGAAGCTTTTAGCATGCACTTAGTCTTCTTTAGGCAATTAGCTAAACAAATGGATTTGTTCTGAGTTCTCAACATCCCTTAATTATAAAACCATATTTTACTCAACTGGTTTAAAAAGAGAACATGGGTAATATTGAAGATGGCAATGGTTTCTAACCAGTATCCACAATAAAATGCTGTGAAAAGCATATCTTATACACGCCTTTATGCCATGTAAATGTATTCTTAATGCCCCTTTATGACAGAACTAAGGCAGTCGGCGCACGGTTTGATTTCTTAAGTTGAATCTTAAAATCCAAATCTGGAAAAAACAACAAGATAGTTCAGAAAAGAATATTGCTTGCAAAAAAAAAGCTTTAGAAAAACTAACGTAAATGCCACAACTGTTTTTGCTATTTTATGTTCAAAATGCTAAATGAATCGGTTAAACTAAAAATGTCAATGACAAGATCATTGTCAACTCTTGAAGTTACAATACTTTTATGGTCTGTACCAAACATATTTAAGAAATTATTTGCACGAAATCCCCCTCACATGATGCAGTCTCTGCATTTTTACTCTAGAGAGTTTCAGTACCTTCCAGAAACAGCTGCTTAAGGGCTCTGTCACTTTGGGAAACAAGCTGTAGTTGGCCACGCCCATCCATCCCCTGACAGGCTGCTAAACTGAGAAGCTCAAATTTCTAGGAGGGGCTTAGAGTACAGCAGTAGCTGCTCTCCAGAAAAGGGGGTCATGTGCTTATTTCCCCTATTGTGACATCACAAACAGGTTCTTTTCCTGAAACCGCTCGTTAGAGGCACATAATTCCTAAAGACACACACAGACAGAAAACATTCACATGGTGCTCTCTGCAGTACACTCTCCAAACTACCCGTAACAGCTGTAATGTCGTTTTTATCTGTTTGCTGTCTTCAGCCCTTTTGGGCTACCGTCACTGGTACACTAATAAAGACTGAACTGAATGAAACAGAAGCAGGATTTCAGATCCTGTAATATTTGATTAATTACTGATATTGTTTTTGGAATTTAAAAAGTTCTAATGATTACCATGAGAATATTCCGTTTGTGGTTGGTACATTTTCTTACAAAAAAAAATAACAACCAGCTGAATAACTTTAAAGGCAAATGTCACAAATATTCTTGGAAAATATTCACGCGTGGCTTTTGCTCTCCTGGAAAAAGCCTGAAACCATTATATATAATAAAAGAACTGGTTTGACATTTTTCAGTTATGGTTTTGACACCTCTCTCCCATGTCACTCACACACACACGCACACACACAAACGATCAAGCTGGAATTAAATTTTAAAGTTTCTTTTTTTTTTACTTGTCACGTTTCCTTGGGAGTGAGCAACTTTTGAGTTCAAACCTTTACGTTTGTTTTTCATCCTGAAAGACTCAGTTGGCTTACACTTTGAAACTCCACAATAAATCATGTGAAATGTAAAATTTCAAAATAGGTTTTAACGCAGGCTTTTGGGTAAATATCAATCAGCTGTTGACAGTACACAACTCATTTGACAGAATCAAGATTAATTTGATCTTGAATGCCTTTCCTCAAATAAGAATATTTTCATCAAACCAAATCTAATTTAGTAAAGCTTACATGTTGAGACTACTGTTTATTTTGTTAGGCAAAAAGGGAGCTAATGAGAGGAGTCAAGAAGAATGAAAGGACGGAGAAAAAAGACAAAAGATTTTATGACTCAAGAATCCTCAAACCAGAATCATAATGTTGCTGTGACGAAGATCCTGACTTAAAAAACAACCTCAACCTGAAAGAACACCAGCAACTTCAACATAAAAGCAGCTTAACGTGACGTTTTACATCTGTTTTTATCATGGTTGAGGGTTTCCTGCTAAATTTGTGACAGACAGAATAACTATCAGCGAGTGATCCGGTCCCAAAAATAACTCCAGCATGGTTACGTTTTCATTACGTGTCCTGAGGTTGAATTTTTCTTGTTGAGAATGAATCAAACTGGCCTGATATCTGTGAAAGAACTATATCAAAGCACACGCAACATCTATACAAGTCATTCAGACGTTTGGGGCCATCAAAAACAAGCATGTACTAGCTGCAGAGTGTTTTCTGTGTACATATCTGCAATTGCAACGTGTATGGGGCCACGGTGTCAGTGACTCCACCTACTGCAGTAATACTCTCCTGTCTGAACATGCCATGGGCTGCAATTTGTTCTGCTCCACAAAGTGGGTCTCTGTTGTGCTAGAACAGGTTGTAATTAATCTCTAGTGCACTAACAAGGAGAGGCCAGCTACTCCGAACAGAATGTGTGGTCCTCCTGCAGATGGTCCAAGAACCAGCCTCGTCTCCGTTTCATGTTCTTAAAGACCAAACCTTGTAAATTTGATCAGTTCTGAGCATATTCCTGCCATTAGAATTAAGAAATCAGGAATATCATGTTGCTGATGAGCCATACTTTAATTTGACTGCATTTAAGATTCCCAACAGCAAAAATAAGCCGACACATCCTGACTCTGCATCAGCATAAAAAAGCTTTTTGGGTTTCTATGTTTATGTTTATGTACACTGTTAGACATTTCATTGGGTTTTTTACAGTACCTTACTGGCAACACTGTTGCCAGTAAGGTACTGTAATTTCCATTTACAGTAACTTACTGGAAACAGTGTTGCCAGTAAGTTACTGTAAATTGAAATTACAGTAGTGGTACTGCATTTGTGTTTTACAGTTCTATCACTGTTATTTTACAGTTCTATTACTACAGTATGGTCTCAGTTACTGTAAAACTGAAATACAGTACCAGTACTGGCACTGTATTTCAGTTTTACAGTAACTGAGACCATACTGTAAAATAACAGTAATAGAACTGTAAAATAACAGTTATGGTACTGTATATATTAAAATGAGGTATAGGACCACTACTGTAAAAAAAGTGTTTCTTACAGTAGTGTTGTACCATTTTTTTGTTCATACTTGTAGACTGTTTAATAATAATTAAAATTGTAATAAAATAATTTAAAAGTTTAATGAATGATCTTAAAGTTTTCCTAAATTGACTTAAACAGTTATATTAAATCAAAACAAACTTCTCTTACAAAACATAGGATTCTTTATTTCGAACACCTGAAACATAAAAAACATTAGAGGTTATCTTATGTAGAAAAAAAATCTCATTCAAAATATTAGAAATTCACCTCAAATCATTACTGGAAAAAATAAAACATTTTACAGCTTATAGAACATCAGAAACAGGCAAACTAACCTTTACTCATTAACTTTGAAGTATTACTATTATAAGACATATAGTGTATTGATTAGTTTATAGTTTGTAAACAGTAACTAACACGAGTAATTGTTCAGTACACGAACAAAGTTTCTTTGAAGGGATATTCCACCCATAAATGAACTGTAGTCTTTTGTTGTATTCCCCAGAGTTAGATCAGTAGGGAAAAATATTTTGTAACCAGCTCAGTCATCCATTTCTGGCAGTGTTAGCTTTAGCTTAGCATACACAATGTAAGTGAATGTTAACAGCTAGCATTTACTGTGACAAAAGTCATGAATATTACTCAATAATAATCCTAATTTTTCTTGGAGACCTCAATAATCATAATGACTTCAACTGACAATAATAAAGAACACAAAGGGATTACAGGAGTCTATTTATAGTTGTGCTGTCAGCTAGCGCAGAAAGGCATAAGATAATGATACTGCAGCCCAAAACTCATTGTTCTCATAATTCACGGGGTGAAATGTTGTAAATGTTATAAGAGTAAACTTTAAGACAGCAAACTAGGAGCTTTATGGTCACTGCAATATGTTACTGTGCCTTTTAACATCGACTTACAGCGATGCTGTGTTGTGATGTAGCACGAGGTCTAAACAGGCTCCTATTATTCCTTTGTGTTATTATTTTAATTTGCTGTTAATATTTATTACACTAAATGCTAGCCATTAACATTCACTTACATTGTTTATGGTAAGCTAAAGAAAACAAAATACTACCAGAACAGGGGAGCAATTGGGCTGGTTACAAAATGTTTTTCCTCACTGATTTAACAGAAAAAAATTTCAATGGATCAGCAATTGAAAGAGTAGAATACATTGCTTTTCACAATACAAAAACATTTGTTAACAATGTAACAGTGCAACATTTGCTGTTAGAAATCTGCATTGAAAAATATTACAATAACAAATTAATAAATGAATTAATAAACTAAGTAATAACAGTGCAATGGATAGTGCAATCTATGAGCATATGCTGCATCAGGAAACATACAAAACCTGCAGAACTGTAGTTCTCAAGAACAGAATGAAATAGTGCTTGTTTTTTTTACTGATTCTGATGGGTGAAGAACCTGGCCAGAATGTTGTCCCCTCGTCTGTTGCCCCAGTGGTCCTAAAAAGGATAAGGAACATTTAAATGTACAGGTGAAACTTGAAAACTTAGAATTTGGTGTAAACTGTTCAACTTAAAGGGGAAACTAATATATGAGACAGACTTATTCCAAATATTTCAGCCCTTATTTGTTATATTAGTGATGATAATGATTTACAGCTGATTATAGTTAGTATACATGCACAAATATAGACTGTATATGTCTCGTATTTACATTGTTTTAATGTATATCCAAAAAATGTATTCTGATGGTACATTGTTTTAATTTTTTTTTATCCTTCTGACGGCATGGCGGCGCGCCACGACAAAATACACATAGCGGAAACCCTGATGCATCACTCAATTTAGCGTCCGTGCAGAAACTCAGAGGAACTTTTTTCCGCTGCAAATAACGCAAATAAAAACACGATATTTTAGCAGAAAAAATTGACCAAAACGATACGCTAGTGGACCGAACTGAAACGGTTCAAAGTAATGCAAAAGTAGTGTAATGCCTTACATTTTAAAATCAGTGATATTGTAATGTAATGAATTACTTTAAAATGAGGGTAACAAGTAATAAATAATGCATTACAGTTTTGAAGTCACTTGCCAAACACTGTTTATGTATATCAGCATACCCTAAAAATACGCACCTATTCCATGTTCTTCCACTCAAACTCTGTTAGGTGGCAAAGGAAGGACAGCACTCTGGGGTTCATGGTGGCTGATTTTCTTTTGACCAACTGTCCGGTCTTGCGACTAACTCCAGTCCGTGTCGTGCATTTGCTCCCATCTTCAGGATTGATTCTCAAGAAGAATCTGCATAAAAATGAGAAAGAAAAACAACAACAAAAATATTAAGTGCAATTTTAGTTAAGATAAATGCAGTCTGGAAGAGTGATTTAACAAAATCGGGGTATGATTCCACTATTTCTGTTAATTTGCTAAAGGATTACAATATATTACATCCCTGCGAACTCAGAAGATGTAAAAAATCTGAGAACTAAAATCAGACCAGCATAGATGTTCCCAGCATATGATGTTTTGGTGCTGGTTTAGCTGGTGAACCAGTATTATATGCTAGTCTAGCATGCTGGTCCAGGATGGGATGCTGGTCTATCATTCCATGACAAGCATACCTTGCAACATATACTGGTAACCAGCAATGCTGGTTTATGCTGTTTGTTTCAGCATGGTCAGTGGTGATTTTGCTTGATTTGACAAACATTAAGTTGCAACCTTGAAATAACAGCTATACGTGCTGTGAGCAGCGTTCTGCAGCATCCTGACAGTTTTTGCTGTCTCCATGACTGTGATCCAAATAATGATGTAACAAGCTACAACAAAGATAGTTTATGAACAAGATTAATTCACCTCCTTTCTCTGAAAATTGATTCTTAGAAAGAGCGACATAGACCTGACTGAAGACCCCCCCCCCCCCCCCCCCCACACACACACACACACACACTCAATATGCATGTATGATATATTACTGGTTTTTGTGATTTCTCAGTGCCTTTAAAAAAAAGATTCCTACCGTTGAATGAACTCCAGTGTTGCACATGCAGGCTCCTGGTATTCCACATTGAAAGCATAGAAGCTTGCCATCAACACAGAAAGTGCATCCGCAAAACCCAGGTCCTCATCTAAAATGTAGGCCACCTTTCCCTCGATGCTCACCATCCACTTGGTTGCCTCAAGGTATGTGGTTCCTATGAGACAAAACATATACACTTCAAAATCGAACATACCAATCTTTGCAACAACAGTGTTTCGCTAAATGCAAAATAAGACGCCTGGCCTGCATAATTAATTTATTGTAGTTTTTATATGTTATAATTATGTAAAGTATGTGAGATTTAGATATATATAGCCTATATTTGTGCACTTCCACTAACCATAATCATAGTTTGAAAATGTCAATAGATCCTCTTGTTCAAGTTCTTTAACAATATTCAGTATTTCAGTTTCATTTAAGTTATTCTGTTCCAGCTTCTCCTCCACTTTTTTAATTACTTGGCTCATTCCGGTGGAGTGGATTTGTTGAAATTCCTGAACTATGCACTGTACTGTTGTTGCTGGTAAAAGAAGTTTGGCTTGTAGTTTTAAGTAAAATAGTGCTAAGTTCTTTAGAAATGTGTCAGGGTTAGACTCTGAGTTGTTTTCATGACTTTCAAGAGGAGACAAAATATCATCATGATGGACCTGGGTGTGTTCACCGGTAACATCGTAGGTTTGTACATCTGCATTCTTTGGTTCTTCTGGCTTTGGAACAAATTGTTGCCTGTGTTTTCTTGAGATGTGTGTGGCAAAAGATGACCTCACTCTGAAATATTTTGAGCAACCCTCAAATGGACAAGTGATTTTTTTGCCATTACGTATGTGTACTCTTAAATGAATGCACAGCAAGGAAATATTATCTGCTGCAAAATCACATCCTTGAACACTACATTCACGAATGCCACCTGGCTGATAAGTCTGGATTTTTTGTGACACTGTAGATGTATGATTCCTGTGTGTGTGTGACTTAAATGCAGAAAATGTTCTAAAAATGGCAGAACATGTTTCTATGCCACATGAAAACCGGTGGTTAGCCAGATTTCTGTGACTTTTTGCATGAACAAAAAAGCTTTTGTAACTTTCACTGCCATGGCTACAAACTTTACACCTAAACATAGTTGAAGTCCTCAAACAATTACTAAAAATATAGATAAGACTTCAGTTATGTGAAGGAAAAAAACTCCGGTTAGTGTGGCGTTGTGCCCAAGCTCATCCGAGTTATTTCTTTATTTTTTCGAATTGTTTTCTACGCTACACAGAGTCAAACGTTAAGACCCCAAATTGTTTTACACAATGTCAGCTTTTACTATCGTGTGAAGAAAAAACTAAGAAAAAAAGCGATGAGAAAAATCCTCAAAGTCCCGTTCTCTTTGAAATAAAGCTCTGAAATCATAAAAGCTAACACAGAGACCCGCAGCAAAACTCCACTAAAAAGATAGCACATTGAAATGCTTAAATGAAAAGTTTACCTTGGATAGTCGGTACTTGGTGGAACTTGGTCTTTTCGCTGGAGAAATTATAAGCGCTGCAGGTGTAGTCTTTTCCGTGTATGTCCCACACTTGCTCGTGTGCCGGTGAACTGTGGTTACAATGACTGCTCTTTACGACAAAATGGCGGTTCTCCGTCTTGAAGGATTTAACAAACTAAATTATTAAATGCAAAAATGACCGTTAATAACAGCTACTTACTGTAATTTTATAATAACTGTAATTTTACAGTACTAAATTGTAAATCTGGTAACTCGGCTGATGCAATCGTTCCTTGTCAGGTGACGTAAATAACTTTACAGCTTCGTATTGATAAATTACAGTAAAAATATTGAAATAACTTTCAGTTTATAGTACCTTACTGTATTTTCATAAACTACAGTAGCAAACTGTAAACTAATTACCACGTGACTTCAAACTCCCATGGTGCAATGCAAATTACAGTTACTAACTGTAGAAATTGTTTTACAGTTTAGTACTGTAAGATATGTGGTAAATTACTGTAGAAATTACAGCCGCGTCTAACAGTGTATTTAGCAGACGCTTTTATCCAAAGCGACTTACAAGTGATAATCGGCATGTTGCCCTTGAGGCAAACAATAACAACAACTTGACATCAATCATGGAGAGGAGGAAACAAGGAGTGGACAGTAGAGAGGGGGGACGGGTGCAGGGAGCGTGCTAGTTTAGAAGATGCTCTCTGAAGAGCAGGGTCTTCAGGAGTTAGCCCACATTTCCCACACCATCTCATCCCTTAAACATGGCTTGGTTGAGACTTTGCAGAAGTAAAATAAACTTCAAAAATAGCTTTGCTGTCATCTCTCATGTACCTAAATTGTTATTTATGATGACTCTCTTGCACATATTGATGCATATGCACAGCATATAATCCCAGAAACTCAGATTAATCTCTACTGTATTGTGTTTGGATTGTTTAGAAAACATGACTTTAAAAGTAGATTTTTGACCATTTAAATCCAGCCACAAGAGCCACAGGAGTGCAAGCTACTCACCAGATTGAGCACCGTCTCAACTATATCCCGGTTACTGACCGAACCAGCCTGGATGAGTCCGACGAGGACAGCAAATTTCATCTTGATATTCCGGATGGGAACCGCAGGATTGAGCATCCCAGGCGGGAGGACCACTGAGCCTGAGCCGGACATCAGCACCGTTTTGCCGGCGGCTGCAGGAGCGTGCCGGCCTTGACCTGGAGCAGGTGGACGGTCCGAGAGCGACTGCGAGCCCGGCATTGTCACCGGTTTCTCGCTTGTCATTTCCACCCAAGCCAAACGGGTCCCGGTGCTTTTTCCAAGGCTTTCTCACTGTGGTGCGTTTTAATCAGCGGAGCATCGAAGACGCAGGAGGAAAATAAGAAAAGCTGAGGAAAAGCATCCAAAACGCCTCCTGTTGTCTGTAAAAGCCACTCTGGAGAGTTCTGATGTCCGGTGAGTGTGGTGTGTTGTTGGTACCAGCCTGTTACCCGAACTGACCGATCTGCGCTGCAAACACAACGGTGTGTGTGTGTGTGTGTGCGCGCGCGCGCGCGCAGATCTCCTTCCTCGGCTGCTGTCACCGCGTTTCCGCCCTCTACCTGCGGTTCGGTTCACCTCCGCCGCTGGGATGATCATTGACCAATGATCCGGGTCGGTTCGAGCTGGTAAACCCAGCAAAAATCTGACTGGGATTCGTTGCACATAATAAACCATAATCAATCATCAGCATCCTTCCTCTTCTTTTTTGTAATGTTTTTTCCAGTTTTTATTTTATTTTATTTTATTAGCTATTTTCGACTAAAACTAGCCCATTTTATCAAGAAAAACGAACTTTTCTGCAGCACTAAACAACAAAGTCAAAAATTCAGCTCAAAGCACATGTAGGTAATAACACTGATGACTTCCACTCAGGTCAGGTGTGGCACGTCACTCTTTAAAGGGCACGTGCAGTCTAATCACAAATGGATGCTGTGCTGTTTCCTGAAGCTAAAACATTACATGATATCTTTATTCAACAACACAGACATTTTGTTTCAGTTTATAGCTGTATGTGAGGAGAAATCCGTTGTGTCAAAATATCGATTTCCTATTAATAAGGTGATGGGAATTTTCTTCTAAATGCCCTTGTGGCTGAGTGCTATCCTAGTAAACAAACTAAGTAAAATGAGTACTGTAAGTAGTTTCTTTTAATTATTTAATGTTTTATTAGACAATAAACATATTCTTCTAATTTATAAACTTTGTTTTTATTTTATTTGGTAGAGAATCATTACATTTCTATAGTAAACTAGTTTCATAGGAAGAAGGAGTGAACCAACTGGTCAAGAGGGCTGGCTCTATTCTGGGATTCTGACCCCAACCTGATGATGGGGGGGAGGAGGATCTTTTCCTAATTTGAATCCATGTTAGAAAAGCCCTCTCACCTCCTGCATGGTGCTGTGGGGCTGGCTGCAGGCCATGAACATCACCAGATCTTTGTCCATGGGTTTAATTTGGAAGGGGGTTACAGGGTGGGACATAGCCCCCCCATCCCCATTTTTCATAGATACATTCATGATTTACCTATTTTTACAGAAAAGATGTAGAATTTTACATGATGTTTATGTTCATTAGATCTAGCGACCGTATTCCAAAATTGAGTGTAAAACTTTGATCCTTGAATCAGTGTATTTTAATGATGAGTTTTGCATGTGAGCCATTGATTTTGGTGTTGGTAAATATGACGTTTGCATTTATAAACACCCCCACCATCAAAGTAAATATTCCTTTGCGAAAAAGTTACCAAAATAAATGGTCACATCATTATTGTAGACAAATACACTTCCTTATAAGGTATAAATAAGGATAATCTCGTTTTAATCATACATTTTTGATTGGATAGTATAAATCAATCTCTAAATCTAATAATGACATAATATATCACTCATTTAAAAAAGGTTATCTAATTTTACTCAGAGTTATGAGTTCACCTCAAATCCTTATCTGTTGATTATTTAATGAAAACATAAAGGCAACATAACTTGTTAAATTTCTTTAAATAAATGTGTTTACAAATAAATAAAGTTACATTAAAATGGTTTTTTTTTCTTGTTTTTCATGTGTCCAGCAGAGGTCTCCCTAACTCCAAAACACATACAGGTGAAGCTCAAAATAGAATATGATGCAAAAGTCAATTAATGTCAGTAATTCAACTTAGACTGAGAGACCATCTAAAGGCTGATTAGCTGATTACAGTCTAGAATATTGAACCTTTTAACAATATTCAAATTTTCTGAGATTTTTAAATTGAGGTCTTTATCAGCTGTGAACCATAATCATCACAATTATAACAAATTAAGGCTTCAAATGTCTGGCTTTGCATGTAATGAGTCTATCCCACATAAGTTTTACCTTTTAAGCTCCATTACTGACATAAATACATTTTTTCCACCACTATTTTGAGTTTCTCATGTAGATTTGTACTGATGCAATATTGGTGAAACACTATTATAATAATACTGATCTTTGAGAAATTCCTTTTCTAAAACCACATTATTTCTTCGTTATGAGAGCAATTAATTAATGAAGGGTGATGCAACCATCAAACTTCCACAATGTCTGACTTTCCAGACTAAAATTCAGTCCACACAGTCAAACATTTCGTAATTAAAGTACTTTTATTACAAAATAATATTTATTGTACCTGACTGGATAACAGTACCATAAAGCAGGTATGAACAAATCAAACCTTAAGTCATCCTTTTCACAAATATTGGAAGTGAAAATTTAATAAAATTACACCTTTTCCAGAAAACGTCAATACTGAAGCAAAGTAAAACCAGCTTACAATCTTGTACCGTGTGTGTTCAAGGAAGGTTGACAGGGTAAGAATCAAAATACAATAAACATATGTACTATTTAACCTCGCTTAAGTGTACAATATATACATTTGAATTAAACTTACAGCATATTCACACATATACAGACACTTTGTGTAAGTTATAATAATTATAGCTTTAAATCTAAAAAAAATGACATGCTTCTCAGAAGCATCAAACAGCTTTAATGTCTTTGACATTGTAAATAATAGCAATTGTATAATATTAAAAATTATTAATCTTACATGTTCAGCAAGATGAAGGTAAATAAAATCATCGTGTCAAGGACGTTGGCAGAATAACTAAATTCTCATTGAATAATTTTACTCAGCACTTCTAAAATGTCTCCCGCGTCATTGTGCAAGAACAGAGAGGCATGGAATTATATTCAGAGCATTTGAAGAAAGAAAAAAAAAGAACGTGTGCTTTAGTTCTGGGGCATTGTCTCCGCGTGTGTGTCTGCCTGCTAGCAATGACTCAAAGGCTCAATCTTGATGTCAGGGCTGAACAGATGGAACGAGAAAAGAGCTTCAGATTTTGGTCTCTGGTCCATCTGTGATTAGTGGCTGGAAGGAGTTGCGGATCCGGGCAGCTTCTGCAGCACAGAGATGGCCAAATGCTTTATTGTACCAGTCTGAAGTCCTTCCCCTGAAGATGAAACAATGGTTTCAGTCAAATGTCACACACACGACTTATAAATCCAAACAAGCGTCTTACTTTAGGTCCACTCTGCAGATGTGAGTCAGTCGGGACTTTCCAGAGCCACAAGGCTCAAGTAGGTAGTTGGACTCGAGGACTATAGCTCGTACTCCTCCTATAAGAGAACAGTCCTCATGCTCTACGGATACGGAAACCAGCGAGCAAGCACCTTTGGGCAAGTCTGTCCTCCAAGACCTGATTAAAAAAAAAAAGCTTTTTTGTTGTTTTTGGTTAGAATAAAATTGTATGTTTATTGTTTCCTTTGTGTCGACAAACCTGAGAACGACAAAGTCTCTGCTGGGATGGGGAGGCATGCGACTGAGGGCGTACTGAAACACCTCTGTCTGCTTGTCTAGAGTTTCACACACTTTCCACTGAAGCAGGTCCATGTCCCACAGATGGCGCTCTCGCAGCACTCGGTTCAGCACAACAGATGGAGGCGCTTCCACCTCCACAGACACTCTCCAACGTCTCAAAGGGTTTCCGTCTCCCACCTGGATGAGACAAAGACACAAATCTCTATCAGCACCTGAACCCACCCCTGACTGAGATAAGGATTCCTTTTTTAATTTCTGCAGGGCTAATTTACAACTGTAGGGTTTCTCACGATGGCAAATCAGAGAGAAAAACACACACCTTCTTGAAGTAAAGCTCAGTGTTATCAGAGCTGCTGCATGACACCCAGTACTTAGACTTTTCCCGTGCCTCTTTCAGCAAACACTGAAGCCTTCCCTCCATATGTGTTTGATACGTTCCATCATCCTCCTCCAGCTGTTTACACAGCTCATCAACTGTTGGTGCATGCAAGTCAGCCTCCACGTAGGAATTACGTGACTGAGTAACCATCTCATGAGGGATCTAATGAGTGTATCATAAAAAACAACTTGTAAATACAATAAAGTATGGATATTGCATCTGCATATGAAAGTCTTGCAACATATTAAAGGTTCTACCTCAAAGAGACGATTGCACTCTGTGATCATATGAGCAAGGCCCTGCGTTGCTGCCAAGTTTTCATTCAGATCTTTCTGGTCTGGTCTCCCAGTGGCATACTTCTTCTGCATCGCTCTAAAGATTATATATATAGAGAGAAAAGTGTTTAGGCAAGCAGCCTCTTCAGGTCAACATCATGCAGTAAACACAGTACGTAAGCGCCCTCTTCCACCCTGTAGGAAGCCTCTTTGGTTCCTTTAGGAGAGATTTTACATGGTGAATTATATAGCCGGCTTTGCTTTGTTTGCACAGAGTATGGGCTCATAAAGCATTAAGCATAAAAGGAGTCATATCCTTTTAAAACTGGAACAGATATCGTGATCTAAGGCACCCCAGAGGGCAGAGCACAATCTGAAACTCATTTGAAGCTTATTGTGGTGAAGATAATCACACAGGAGCTAACGTAAAGCAGACAGACCTTTTCCTTCCTTTTATTAAAGGAATTACCTAAACTAACGAACATCAATTTAACTGTGATGAAAAATACAAGAAATAATTACTTAGGAGAGAGATTGTCCTTCTTTATTATGTTAAGGTGGAAGAGTGAGGGGGCCAAGCACACGGCGATGTTCATGGGTGTCATCTGATTCTCCTCCACAGAGGAAGTGACATCGCTGAGAAAACAGAGGAGTGTCTGCAGCACCTCTCGGTTTTCATCCGGCATCAGCATGATGGCTGCCTGAACAGCTTGCATCCGTTGGTCCTTTGGCACATCTGTACATGCAGAACATGGGATTTTATCATTTCTGCTCAGAAGACGTAGTAAAAGAGGCGAGAAAGGCGATTATATCCTCCTAAGCTAGGACGGATTTATGTACCGGTACTCACACTGGTATATCTGGAGGAAAGTCTCTCCCAGCTTGCTGGTGAGCAGGGGCTCAGGTAAATCCCTGAAGAACTGTTTCACCATGTCCGCCACATCATAGGCAGACTGATCTTCATAGCTGACATTGTCAGGGGAGCTTTCATTCATTTGTCTCAGAGCCTGAATTCGGGATTTCACCCCGGACTTCCGAAACAAACCCACCTTGAAGAAAAACAGATGTTTTGTTCAGTCCAAGTGTACCGTACACTCGTTTTACTGTTTGGATGGCAAAGATCGGTGTAGAAAATGAATATCTTTACAGAGTTTTCTTTAAAGAGCAAGTCACCCCCTACCAGAGTATTACTCCACTCCCACTTCCTGTTTGAAAAATGCAACAAATGCTGTTTTTTTTTTTTTTTTGACATTTTACTTTTCAATCAATTTCCCTCTGGGATTAAAATCAATTTCCCTCTGGGATTAATAAAATATTTTTGAATTTTAAATGAATTTGAATTTTTGCTTAGGAGACCGAGAGGGCGGAGCCACTAACAAATACACACACACACACAGACTTACAACGACATTGTGACATCATATCGTACCAGCTAACATTCTAGGGTACCTCTTAGCCAATAGCGATGGCAGATTTAAATTCAACTGCAGTGCAGAGTTTTTACCTGACAACGGTATAACACTGACAGTTTCAGGCAGAAAATTTTAATTTTACCTAAAATGCACTAAAGTGCAAAACTATTGACTACACGTGTCTGCAGCATGATTAGACACACATTTATATAGTTTATCAAAAAATTAAGGTGATTTGGGGGTGACTTTCTCTTTAACAAAATTAATAACTTCATAAATAAAGGTCTCTCAGTGGTAGTGCTTACAGGTGCAAATCGAAAAATTAGAAGATCGAGCTAGCGTTCGTTTATTTATGAAATTGAACTTCAAAGGTGAAACTAATATATGATGTTGACTCATTACACACAAAGTCAGATATTTTAAGCCATTATTTGTTATAATTGTGATGATTATGGCTTCCAGCTTATGCTAACCCCACGATCAAATCTCAGATGATTAGAATATTGTGAAAAGGTTCAATATTCTAGACTCAAAGTATCACACACTAATCAGCTAACAAATACAAAACACCTGCAAAGGGTTCCTGAGCCTTTACATTGTCTCTCAGTCTACACTGAAATATTGAAACAAATGGGAGTTCTGCACCATATTCTAATTTATTGAGTTTTACCTTTATGCTTATTGCCCAAAGATTCCCCAGTGCCCTACGCATTGTGGTGCAGTAGCGTTCTCCGGGCGCTACACTTCCATGCTTTAGAGTTCTGCCTTTTACATTCCGTAACATTGCATTGTTAATTATAAATAATGAAATCAATGTTCAATATTTCAGAATCGATTCTGATTCGTATATGTCCAAATTATGAAGCATAAAGAATAGATGACATCTCGCACCCCTAGTTGTAACTGACCTGGTCAAGACATTGGCTCCTAAGGTATCGTAAGGCCTGTTGCAGGCCAAGAGGCAAAGGTTGTCCAGTACGCTGAATGTGAACTATTAGTGGCACTCCAAACACATTTTTGTCCTTATAGTCTGGCACCTTCATCCGCTTCATAAACTTTGGCACTGACCTAAAAGAGTTAGCAATGAGACACTGTTTCAAACTTACAGGAAAACAGAATAAATTCATTAATTTCAAAATAAATGGTAAATGGTAAATGGCCTGTATTTCATATAGCGCCTTCTAGAGTCCTGGAACCCCCCAAGGCACTTTACAACACAATCAGTCATTCACCCATTCACACCCACATTCACACACTGGTGGGGATGAGCTACGATGTAGCCACAGCTGCCCTGGGGCGTACTGACAGAGGCGAGGCTGCCGAGCACTGGTGCCACCAGTCCCTCCGACCACCACCAGCAGGCAACGTGGGTTAAGTGTCTTGCCCAAGGACACAACGACAGCGACAGACTGAGCGGGGCTCGAACCTGCAACCTTTTGATCACGGGGCGAGCACTTAACTCCTGTGCCACCGTCGCCCTCCTGTGCCCACCATCGCAGAAATGGGATTAGTGCATGAATCACCAACAAATCACAAGTAAAACTCACCAAGTCCAGCCATGCTTGTTTGACATGGAGTACTTCTCCATGATGGCAGTCAGACGCAATAGAGAAAACTTCTGTAACAAACTCAGCTGGCCGGCTGACTGGTATGTAATCTGTAGGGACGCCATTGAGTGACTCAAACGGTTGGATATCTGAAAGCTGGGCCATCGTAACCTAATGGAATGAAAAGTTAAAGCAAACCTATTAATTTGAAAAAGCTGCTTCCTTTTAAATACATTATTATTTGATCAAGTACAGCTTTATGAGTTCTACCTGTTGGGTCTTGTTAGCGAAGCACCAACTCCAGAGTCCCTCCTTTCCCTGAACCTTGTAGAATCCATTTCTACAAGAGATACTTTGTCTCTGTCTCCATCACCAGCTGTAGCCTGGCTTTCTGTGACTGAGCTTCCCTCAAAGTCTAATGTGATCTGACTAGAGGACTGCAGGCCAACTGTGTCTTCCTTTTCACTATCTACCTGTGTCATACCCTCTCCTCCAGGTAGGACATTCTTAGACCAATGGTCCACTATCTGCTGGAGACCGTTGACATGCCGCAGGATATCATCCAGGTGAGGAAACAGATCCTCTTTCTCCAGGTCGATCAGGTCTCCGGTGCTAGCATAAAGATGTGATCCAGGAACATTATCGTATACGCTTATGCGGCTTTCTCTAGAGCAGCATTGGGTGACAGGTCTGGGTTCTGGTCTGCAGGAAATTAGAGGGGGGTTTGGGTGCATGCTGCCAGTGTGCCAGTTAATGGAGGCCCCATTGGTTGGTGACAGGCTTTCAATTGACAAAGCTTTGGGGAAAGTTCCTGGCTTATGGTCTTTGGGAATGTGGACCACCAGGTCTTCGTAAGAACAGAAATCATTCCTGCGGTTTTGTTGTGCGACTTGTGCACCTGAGAAAATGTCCATGTCCTCCAAATACATGCCACTGCGCTTGTGGTCTGCTCGGTGAGGCTTGCGTTCTGTCAGACTAGGTGTGCTGACCGTGCTGCCGCTAGAATGGCTGCTCCCTTCACTACTGGACTGAGGCAGATGAACTTTGTTTGATGACGGTTCTAAAGTCTCGTCATCTCCATTAATGATGTCAACACACCGCAGTCTCTTGAGCGACTGGGCCTCCTGCTGCAGCACTGGAGTGCTGATGACCAACATCTTACGGCCCCTCCCTATGGTTCCTCTGGATCTCAGCATCTCCATGCGCTTCAGGAAGTCTTTGGCCCGGATGCGGCTTGTCTTGCCAGGCTTACCAGGTGGAGAGCCATAGTGAGAAAATTCTTTGGGTAGGTGAGGCATTGTGAGACAGGTAGAGTCTGGCATTGCTGCGGAATCAGCGCAGACGAGGTTAGAGCAGTCAGAGTCCTCTGTGCTGAGGGCCTTGTTACCACTCCCAGCGCTGCTTTCACTGTGCAAAGATGAGACCTCTGGTTCACTGAGGTCTGTTAGGACGCTTTCGGTGCTGGCGGTGGTTCGCAAAGGCACGGTGTACTTAGAGTTCTGGCTTTCTCCGTGTGTCCGAAGGAGACAGTCGATATCCTGTAATCTGGACCAACGCCTACTACTCCACTCAAAGGTCCATTTATCACTGATAGCAAACAGGTCTTCTTCATCAGAGTCTTCACTCTGGCAAGAAACAGAGCAGGTTACTTCATTTGTATTGTTCACCATATTAAAATAACTCATTCATTTTATTATCTTAATCCCATATATTTACACAGTGGCATGTTAGCAAGCACTAATCTAAGGGTACTCTATACTTTATAACAGTGGTACTCACTCCGGGTCCTGGAGAACCGGTATCCAGCATGTTTTAGAGTAAAACCTGCTTCAACACACCTGATATCAATCAGCAGGTGACTTCTGAAGAGCTTGATGAGCTGCTGCACAGGTGATTCAACCACTGAATTAGGTGTGTTGGAGTAGAGAAACAAGGAAAACATGCTGGATACCAGCTCTTCTGGACCAGGAGTGAGTACCACTGCCTTACAACCATGGTAACACGACAATTAAGGCATTAAGTAAGCATATTTTTAGGATTTCCTTCTGCACAAATGATCACTTTGATTTTTTTTCCATCAGACAATTTTAAAGTTGTGGAACACTTGTTTAATCAATAAATTTGCAGTGGTCTTAAGTTAATGCCTTGTAAGTTGTGTGTGTGTGCGTGTGTGTGTGTGTGGGGGGGGGGGGGGGGTTCTCAGATGCGCTTGAATCAGGAAATACAAATCAGCTGGAGGAGAATGTAGATTCAGACAGCAGGATTTGGGCTTTCCTGATATTTGAACATCTCGCCTCAGATTGGCTAATAGCAACGCGACTCTACCACTAACTCTGTTTGCTTTGCAACACTGATGTTTTAGTGTCCATTTAGTAGAACCAAAAATGAAACGTATCTCCTCACTGTGCGTTCTTCTTCTGAAGACCTTAATCTAACAGCTGAAATGTCTCCCAGCCTTCATTAACTTCTACAGGAGTGATTCATCACTAAATTAAACAAATCAGCTGTGTTCGTGATCTAAAACAGGCAGGAAACGTACTGGAAGCAGACTGCAGCGCCAGGTATGTCAGCTAAATTTAGTCAAAGTCCAACGGGTGGCGGCCCACCACATTAAAGTTGCAAATGCAATATTCTGGCCACAGAGGGAGATGGGGGTCTGAGTAACATTCCACTAACCCTGTAAAGGGTCGTTTTAGCATTTACAGGCTCAAGAAAATAAAACATGAAAAAGTTACACAGTACACCTTTAAAGCTCCTTACTTTTTTCTTTGGAAGGTTGACATCAAGCTTCATAGAAGCACATTTGTTCAGTGTGTTGAGTCGCCTGAAAGATAAAAATAAATATCCCAAATATAAAATCAGTTCTGCACGAACAAAATAAAATATAACAATAGCTTCTAAATGAGAGTACTGTGGTGTAATAAAGTATTAATCTGATCATCTTCTGCTCTGGAAGAACAACAGACCCACAGGAGACCCGAGTCTGTCCATATTGTGATATCTCACAGTTTAACAATGGATGGTAATTTTAAGTTATTCATTCATCATTCTGTGACTGTTTTCAAGAATTGAGTAAGATTTTGAAGACAGAAAAAACAAAAAATAAGTAAGCGATCTATCTACAGAAGGACTTATTTAAGTATTATCTACAGTTGTGTTTTAAAGTCGTTAAATCCACAAAAACTACCAGCTGGCTCTACTTTATTTTAAATATATAAGCTGTGCTTTTTAAACGCTGTCGTAAATTTCCTGAACTCTGTTTTGTAAATCCCAAAGAGCAGAACAATATTTATTTAAAAAAATCTGTATTTTACTGTAAACATTCTGAGGACATGATCTGTGTTTACTAGAATGTGTAGGTGTGCCAAGTGGAATGCATACATCAAAAAGCAATAATGTATTCAGACAGCAGTGTGAGGTGAAGGAGACAACCTGACCAAACAAAGCACAACGTAAGTAAGTCTCTGCCTTAAAAAAAGGAAACATTTGTTGTGAGATAATCACAGGCTTTAACCGAGCCTGCCATGGCTAACGGTCTTTTTCCACCACTCACAATAGACGTTTGGGATAATACTGAGATGAGGGCTCTAACTATTCTCTGCTGCTGTAGATGATAGGGGTTATAAAAACAAGATGTTCCCATGATTGTTACCAAAGATAAAGGGACACAACTAAGGAGCAGATTTCTAAACTGAAGGCGCTTTATTCCACAGGCCTAAAGAGCTTTAACCATGGTTGCTATAATAAGAGTGTGCTCAGACAGAGATCAGGGAGGGCACATGTATGAAATATCTATCAGTTTCTCTTCAGTCTAAGACATGCAAGGCATGTAGGCTGGTATTTATCTTTGGTCCCGGGATTGTGCCGGCATAACTGATGGAGGAGCAGTTTTTAAGTTGCCATAGAGATGCTGGAAAGTCATGGACGAAATCAGTCAGGAGGTGGAACTGTTTCCAATTGTCTTCTATTCATGTCATGGCTAGTTTGGAATTTAAATGAGTTGCTTTGGGGTTGTTTAGAGTCGCAGTACACTGAGCTGTGCGAGGCACCAATAATGCCTCTCCTGCTTCCCTCTTTGGATCGTTGCCATAGTGACTGTAGTAGCTGAAGTACTGTTTTCATTTAGGCTAGGAAAAGACAATGCACTGGCCCAAAAAGGGTTAGTTGTGGAGCCACCAGTTGTTGTTTTCATGTGTGTTTTTTTATTCTTACACCCCTGAGCAAACAGGGAAATACTGAGGATGATGGGAACCGCTGGTACTTTTAACCCTCCCGCATTGTTGTTAATGGGGTCAGATGGACCTCTGGTGAATTTTTATTTTTCATTTTAATATTTTTTAAGGGGTGCATCACTTCACCCCTGCCAAGGCATAAATGTTAAACCCTGTTTAACCACCCTCTGTCCTGGCGGGGTCACCTGATAGGAAAGTCGAAGGGTTAAACTTAAAGGCTTTTTAAAACAACAGGGCCAACTTATTTTGTTGTCATTATATGGGTCAGCAGTAGCTGAGGAGGTAGCACAGTTTGACCAGTAATTAGAGAATTGCTAGATCGATCCCAGCTCCAGCCAGGGTACCGTGATGTGGTGTCCTTGGGCAAAACACTTCACCTGATTTGCCTGTGTTGGTAGTTGTCAGACAGGCAGATGGTGCAACATGGCAGCCTCGCTTCTGTCAGACCGCCCTAAGATAGCGCTGCTCCAAGACCAGGAGTGCATTACCAGCTCATCAAAACATTACTGTCAGCTGTCTTTTGCATATTTAATAGTTGGTCAGTTTATTGATTTGTTTGATTTGCTAAATGTTTGATTTTTATACTGAGCAGTGTGCAGGATTAAGATTCAAGAGTTGTTAAATTTAGCGTTCAAAAGCTGATTCAGATTCACAAACGTTGTGTGTCCACGGTTATTAGTGACTTTTAAGGGTTATCTAACCCTAACCCTAAATAAGGCAAAAAATGTCTTGATGTCAGCCATGAAAATCAGCCCCAAAAAATCAACAGCACATACCCACCAACGGTTAACTCTAAATATCAGCATCAATTTATATAGGTCCTTAAAGTGACAATGTGTAGCTTTTACCAATAATCACTGGAAATATCCATTAAAATGTCACATAACCATAAAAATTGGGTATGAAATACATGGGAGTGGGTCTAAGTCTCTGGGGGACACCATAAATCAGCAGTTTCCAAACTTATTTAGCCGCGCACCCCCTTCTACGTCCCGACCATGTCGACGCACCACCCAGCCCCCACATCAGGGCATGGCTATATATATATATATATATATATATAGCCAGATAGATATAAATATATAAATATATATATTTACTGTATATATATATATATATATATATATATATATATATATATATATATATATATATATATATATATATATATAGCCAGATAGATATAAATATATAAATATATATATCAGACGTCAAGCTAAACAGTCACTCGACAGACAGGGTTAAAAAAATATGATCGACCTTTTCCCCCATCACTTTCATTTTTTAAATAGTAGGCTCTAATTAATAAACATTCAATACAATTACAATTTCCTTTGACTTAATTTTAAATAAATGTTTAGAGTGCCCAGGTAGCACATAAACAATGCAATTTAACAGTTTTCTTAAAGCAGGAATGTTTAACCAGAGCTCTCTCCTTCCTTCTGCTCTGCGTAAACCTGAACTGGCCACCTACTTGTGCGTAATCAAATGTCTACAGGGGAAAAGATGGAAAAGCTATAGCCTTGAGGTTCACTTTTGCCTCAGACCGACTTATTGCTGTTTTATGGTGTGGCTGAATCTGCGATCCGCTGCCACGCGGACTGGAATAACAAATGCTGCAGTAACATGAGTTGTTGTCAGGTTCATGAGGAGTCACTGGCTGGAGCGGACTCGAATTTCATACGTCATCCCAAAATTGAAGCTAATATCTTAATATGACCTTGAATGAAAAATGTTGTTATAAAACCTCTTAAAAGTTTTTTTTTATCACGGAGGACGCAGCGCTCATTTCTGCCTTCAGTCTGATGGTGCGGAGCGTGTGCTTATTGAAACTCTGTGTGTGTGTGTGTGTGTGTGTGTGTGTGTGTGTGTGTGTGTGTGTGTGTGTGTGTGTGTGCGTGCGTGCGTGCGTGCGTGCGGCACAGCTCCATGAGCCGCTCAAGTCACTGCGTCTCGTTATTGGCGCTATTTAAACCAATTGTTGTAAAATTACTTCTGCCCAGCCCAGATGTGCTCACTTGTGCACCCGTGAGCCGTGGTTCCGCTGGAACGCGTCTGACCTCTGACAGAAACACTCTGAACTTCAGATCTTCAGCGCGCTGTTAGAATGCTGTCCCACAGTCAGTGTGCTAATATAATAATATAATAATGCTAAAATGCTCAGATGGGAATCATTTATTTATTTTGTTACATCCATAATGTTCTGTGTGTGAGGTTTACAATATCAGAACACCTGCATGAGACAGGGTGTTAATTACAATCTGCCAGAATGACTCACCACCTTCAGATTTCTCCAACATCATTAAAAATTATACGGAACATATCGGCGTGCGCAGGCCAGAGCGCTGAAGCTCGGCGCATTGTTATTATGAAGCTAGGGCACATGCGGAGGACACACGCTCAAAAATATACTTGTTTTCAATTACATTTATTGGGCCCACTTACTTTTGCTTTGGCCCACCCACAAATGAGTTTCTGGCTACGCTAATGGTGACACATGACAGACTTCTCTGAGCTCCGCAGCCATTACACTTTTCACCGCGCGCACCCCCTAGCAGCAGCTCTCGCAACCCTACTTGGGGAATCCCTGCACCATGTTTCCTTGTACAGGAACCCGTGAGGACAAAATGCATTAAATGATTTTTAACAAATAGTTGCAAAACTTTTGCCATCCATAAAGGTTGTTGTTTTACACATTTACCTCTTCACTTGTTGCCAGTGCCAAAAAGGAGTCTGATGCTCATTGAGTCATGTTGCTGGAGGTTAATAATAATAATAATAATAATAATAATAATAATAATCATCATCATCATCATCATTATCATTATCATCATTATTAATAATTATTATATAATCAAATACTCTTGAGTTTGTTTGTTTCCAGTTAAGTTAAATGCCTGCATCCGTAAAATCAAAAAGGACTAAAATGTGCTCAACCAGGTTAAGGGGTCAAAGCAAGAAAAGCATGGTTTCCTTTCATCTCAGAAATAAATCATCATCTTTTTGGTGTCTATTTTTGTTTTGCTTACTTGCACAGAGTTTCCACCAGATCTTTATCCAGAAAGTCATGGTCCCTTTTCACAGGTGTGATGTCAATAGGAAACTGGGAATCTGAAAAGGAAAAGAAAAACATTCAAAGCATGGAAAGGAGTACAATTAATGGTTGGACAAAATAACTGGAAACTCAAGAAACCCATTTTTTCTGTAACTTCAGTAAAACCATAGAAGTTTAGGTGATATGTAATGAGAAGAGACAGGATTTGCCCTAATAACAGAGCACAGACTTGTGCACGCATTACATCTTGCTTTGGCCATGAGATTCTTCTTACATAACCTAAACTACTGAGTCGTATATTCCACTACATCCGTGGGAAGTTATTCACTTCTTATTGAAGCAGGGGCTGCAGTGAGCAGCTCGGATCAGCGGGGCTTAACCTGCTCCAGCTGGCAGGGATTCAGAAATTCTGACAGATTTCAAACATGAACAAAACCTAAAAATGACTTTAATCAACCATTTACTTTTTTTAACACACAAAATCAGCATGAAACTCTTATCTGTTCCCCTTTCTGTGGTTTTCATGCTTTCCATTAACTGCCAGGAAATAACAATAATACACTAAAGCAGATCAAAAGCTTGGCCCCAACACAAAGTTCTGTGGAGGTTCAGATCCTTAAAGTTCTGATAAAAACCCTTTTCTTCCAATGACTTCGGGCGTAAAGCTCAGTAGACACGTTTATGAAGTAATGGTTGCTCAGAAAAGCATCTGATGTTCCATTTTGTTTTTGCGGTGTCTAGATGTGACTGATGCCTTAGCTCGGAGGCTTCCCGGGAGTGTTAGTGTAAATACGGCCCACTGTGCAGCACATGAATACTTGGTCTTGTTGGGTACAGACCAGATGACACCGTGTACAATTATCCATTCATCGTAATTAAAAGGCCACAATCAAGCTGTCTCAGTCCATATCAGATCAGAAATTAAAATGCAAATTTCCTTTTGGGGCTTCTTCTATTTATTTTATATTTTATGCTTTCGTTCTTTTTTAAACACAGAAACAGTTTTGTTTACCTGTTTGTAGCTACGGTTTCGCCGACGGCTGCCGGCTTCTTCAGGCTGACGCTGATGGTGGCGCGTCACTTCCTTCTCCGTTTATCTGCGGGCAGCAGAGGACGTTGTCGCCCTCTACTGCCCGCTCTCCCCTCTCCGACGATGCAGTCCCATGTGTGGTCCAGCGTGTAAACTCCGTCGTCCCTGTTCATGGTCCCACATCCACGTCTCCTTATCTCTATTGCTTCCTTGATCCATCTTTTGTATTTTTGTTGTTCGGTGGTTATGATCCGTGTGTTGTCCCAGTCCATTATATGGTTTTCTCTTAAGCAATGTTCTGTTACGGCTGACTTTTTTATTGTACTTTCTGCTTCTTCTTTTGCTGCTCTTGTGTGTTTACGATTTGCCTCTTTCTCGCACTCCTTTCTGTGTTCTATTGTCCGTGTATTGAGTTGGCGTCCGGTTTCTCCTATGTATGTTTTATTGCATATTTTGCATGGGATTTCGTAGATGACTCCACATTTTTGTCCAGCTGATATTTTGTCTTTTGGGTGTACTAATCTGTTTCTAACTGTTGTGTATGGCTTTGTTGGTGTGTTTATGTTGTGTTTTTTCATTGTTGCTCTTATTTTTTCCGTTATGCCTCTGATGTATGGTAGGGTTATCACTGGTTTTGGTTCTTGTCTTTCTGGGTTTCTGGTTCTTTTTTTGGGTTGTTCTTTGCTTTCTGTTTTTGTTTGTTGTTTTCCTTTGTTTATTGCCCATGTCGGGTATCTGCAGGTCTTTAAAGCGTGTTGTATGTGTTTGTCCTCTTGTTTACGGTCTCTCTCTTCTGTTATTATGTTTGCTCGGTGATATAATGTTCTGATTACTGACATTTTGTGTATGGTAGGGTGTTCTGATGTCCATAATAAATATTGGTCTGTGTGTGTTGGTTTCCTGTATGTGTTTATGTTTAGGGTCCCGTCGGTCTGTCTGGTGATTTTCATGTCCATAAATGCTATGCTGCCTTCTGTTTCTAACTCATAAGTGAATTTTATGTTGCCCGTGTCGTCAATATTGTTTAAGTGTTGTGTTAGTGTTTCTGTTTGACCTTTTGGTATGATTTCCAGTATGTCGTCTACGTAGCGTTTCCATAGTTTTATTTTGCAGTTTGGGGGGGCAGTGGCTATGGCTTTTTGTTCCAGGTCTTCCATAAAAAAACCCAGAAAGACAAGAACCAAAACCAGTGATAACCCTACCATACATCAGAGGCATAACGGAAAAAATAAGAGCAACAATGAAAAAACACAACATAAACACACCAACAAAGCCATACACAACAGTTAGAAACAGATTAGTACACCCAAAAGACAAAATATCAGCTGGACAAAAATGTGTAGTCATCTACGAAATCCCATGCAAAATATGCAATAAAACATACATAGGAGAAACCGGACGCCAACTCAATACACGGACAATAGAACACAGAAAGGAGTGCGAGAAAGAGGCAAATCGTAAACACACAAGAGCAGCAAAAGAAGAAGCAGAAAGTACAATAAAAAAGTCAGCCGTAACAGAACATTGCTTAAGAGAAAACCATATAATGGACTGGGACAACACACGGATCATAACCACCGAACAACAAAAATACAAAAGATGGATCAAGGAAGCAATCGAGATAAGGAGACGTGGATGTGGGACCATGAACAGGGACGACGGAGTTTACACGCTGGACCACGCATGGGACTGCATCGTCGGAGAGGGGAGAGCGGGCAGTAGAGGGCGACAACGTCCTCTGCTGCCCGCAGATAAACGGAGAAGGAAGTGACGCGCCACCATCAGCGTCAGCCTGAAGAAGCCGGCAGCTGTCGGCGAAACCGTAGCTACAAACAGGTAAACAAAACTGTTTCTGTGTTTAAAAAAGAACGAAAGCATGGATTTAGAAAGACACAGCAAGAACACACCTAAGATTTTATATTTTACTTTAAACTTAATCTCTCTCTGAGATAAAGTGTGGTAGTCTTCTGAGCGCTTTTATTACCTTCAAAGAGTTGAGCGTACTGGGGAAATCCTGCTGCCCGCAGCCAGTCACACGCCTCTTTTGCTTCAATCTCTGAAAAAGAAATTAAAAGTGAAAATCAGCCACATTAAGTTCATTTTCATTTTGACAAAACCGCTGGTGCATCATCCAAAACAGCAATAACCTCCCTGCACCTTTTTATCCTGCAGGCACAGACGCATGAAGTGGTTTACTTACTGAAACCACCTATAAACTTTGAGACGGGAGCCAAAAATGTGCTCTCATCTAAAAAAGAAATAAAGAAAAGCTTCAAGGGAGTTGCTCTCATTCAAGATGAATTTCAATAATTAAGAGAAAACTGTTGATCAGGTTAAAATCTGTTTTTATTTTGAGCTGGGGGAAAAATGGATTGCCACCTGCAGGCTTCAGAGCCACTGAGGGACCAAAGAGGAAGCAGACGGTTGGCACCTTTCCATGAATGCTAATAGATCTGGGTGCCATTTACCGTCTACATGTGACATGATGTCTGACATGTTGGTGACACAGCACACGGGCTGATTTCCACTAAGAAAGTAAAAAAATGATCCAATTCTTCCATCAAATTACAAAAACAAGTTGATATTCTTTATTTTTTTATTATTTGTCACTGTAAAAAGATTCTGAGTTGTTATTTTTTCACAAACAACACAAACCAAACTGAATAATTTTGTTTAGACTATTCATTGCCCAAAGAAATTAACACAGCAAATTGGATCTGCTGCCCGTCATCTCCTCCAGATTTACAAACACAATATGAATACGTTTCTTGGAAAGATCAGATTAATTTGCAAATAAATGCATTTTTCATAATAAAACAAGTACAAAACTAGCATCCAGAGCTACATCCCAGATGACGCCACAAGTGTGAATCCTTGCCAGCTTCAGTGTTTTTAAAGCCACACAGCTAAAGTGTTTTACTGCATATCAGTGGTTTAACAAGCCTGCCACTATGTGCAGAATCATTAAAAACGTAAACATCACATCTAAGAAAAGCAGCACATCAGCTGGGTGACAAACAGCTCTCCTATTACACATCTGAGATCTCTATCCTAAACAACTGCAGGAGCAAAAGTTACACAAATCACCACGTTTTCCTTTTTATGGTTAGAAAAAAAACCCAGCTGCCATGCTTTAAAACCGAAGACTCACCTGTGCTACTTCATTTCGGTGTTACTGAGATATAAATGAAAGCTGACTTTGCTTGTCAGAATGAGCAGCAACTGAATAAATATTAACAGTTCCCTGCGTCCTTGGATGTAAAAAAAAACCTTGTGTGTACCTCTTTAGTCAGGAGTTAAGTCAACATCCACTCTCTCTGTTCCCACCTGCATCAGCACAAGCTACATGTTCCCTTCAACCAGACCTTCCCTCCTTCGGTGGATAAAATCAGGCTACTATCATTCAACCGCAGCGCATAGTGAGAGCCCCGTCAGACCCTCTTGTGTGCCACAGCCTCAGGTGGGACCGCTGAGAACATGAACTGGGAATTCCTCTGTTTTGCATTCTGTAACATGATAGGGAGACATTCTGTCCTCTCATCCTCTCTCTAAGGAAATCTCTTGTGAATAAAAAGGCCAGGTGGGCACTGAGCCAAAGCACGAGCGCTTGTATTTGCTCCCCGTGACCTGAAGCTTTAAAGCTGTGTTCAGTATAGAGTTACAATTGGACAAAGACAAGAAACCCAGTTTTGCTGCGACACAATGGTCTGAAGCGTCAAAAGCTATTTGTGGGTGAAGTATCTATAGAAAGGGCAACTCCTTCCTTTACAGTTCAGCTTATGCAACATTCTATATAAAGAACCCACGTTAGATGAATCACAACACAGAGACAGTGGAGAAAAACAAACCAGATTCTTGGTGTTTCAGGTGAGAAAAGGTCAACATTTAAAAATTGCAAAAGTAAAACATCAATCACGCTCATCTTTCTATTTGATTTTATGAAATACAAACTCTCAAACCTCCTCAGATGTACTAAACATCACTCTTTTCTTCAAGTGAGAATTTCTTGTGTACTCACGGGATGTTTTCATCATACAGCCAAAGTAGTTCATACATCAATCAGGTCTTGAGTGTGTTTCAGCTTGTCAAAGCATCTCTTCATTACCACGCTGAGCTGCATTCCTGCTCTCTCTCTCTGAACACAGCTGGCAGCTCCAACTCAGGTCCGCAGCTCCTTCTTCCCCCTTTTCTCTTGCCATCTACCCCCAACCACCATGTGCCTGTCCCAACACTAAATCTATCCTTTATGCCACCCCTTTCTACGGAAGGCTCCAAAAACACTCACCCCCAACTCTCCTCCTTCCACCCACCCACCCACCCACCCAGCTTTGCCCACGACAACTCCTTCATGCACAGCTCAGCAAATATTTCAGCAAAGATCGCAGCTGTAGCCAAATGACGCATATTGTCTCAGATATGCTCGTAACTTTCAAGATGTCTTAAAAAATCTATCACAATTGTGTGTGTGTGTGTGTGTGTGTGTGTGTGTGTGTGTGTGTGTGTGTGTGTGTGTGTGTGTGTGTGTGTGTGTGTGTGTGTGTGTGTGTGTGTGTGTGTGTGTGTGTGTGTGTGTGTGTGACTTTGATGGATTAGGACAGATTGCAAAAACATTTTTTCACAGTTTTCAAACTTGGGAAAGGTTTCATTTATACAAACAAAGAAGAAGTGTGGTTTTGAAGGCCCAGATGTTATTCCACCGGGCCGACGAAATGGAAACACATAGACGGCTGAACTCGGGGAAAACCGTGACATGAATCTTCAGCAATCAGTAGCAGTGAATCATGCCGAGGCACCCGGCTCTCAAGGCAGCAGCGCTGGCATCATCAGAGTGATGCCTTCCTTTTGTTTTAATGTCTAAACCTCTTTGTTTGTAGCTAAATCAGTGAATGAGATGATAGGTGTCACCATTGTCATTCCAGACAGTAAACTGTTGATTATTAAGAATAACTTGTTCCAAAATGCCAGAAAATAACTGTAATTAAACGATGACCATACTAATTATTCATTTGAAAGACATTAAAATAATTCTACACAATGTTTTTTTATGTTCTAAGTCAGGAAGAAGAAAAGTAGGCAAAAAGAAGAAGCAGAAAGAAAAAAAAATGAATTAGGCCCAAGAGAATACAGGCACTGGACTGGCTAAGTGAAAACCCCGGTTTTAATTGGATTATAAAGAGGAAATTACTAAATCTGGGACTTAGAAGACAAATCTGTTCATTAAAATTGTGTTTCAGGGAACTTATTGGGATTTTCCATGGCTCCGGATTACATCAGAACGCCATATCCATTCAACATTTCCCATCACGTAAGCTGAAATCCAGATGTGGTCCACCTCTGCTGCATCTCCCTCACTTTGTGACATTTCTGCAGTTTCCCGCTCGGATGCACGGCGGCTAAAACTGGGTTTTAATCTTCAAGTAGAAGGACTGACGTACAAAATCCACTTTAGTCCCCATTAAAAAGCCCTTTACGGTAAATACACTTAGCACTTGTACGAAATTCACTAAAAACAAACTAGCTTAAGTAGTATGATGTAGTCCAATAAAATATCAGAGTGCTTTGTTGCCTCATGCTGCATTACCACAGAATGAGTCAGCCAGACAACAGAGGCTGCGACTAATCTGAGCCGTCTGCTCAAACACCTGGAGAAAGAAAAACCAAAGCAGCAGGATGGAAAAAGAGTTTTTGCTCCTACTGTAGGTGTCGTCATACTTGGAAACATTAGCAGAGGTACCTCTTTTCTTTATGATGCTAATTGCATACACACACTCACTCACAGTGAGCAGTCAGCTAAGACTAGACAGACAGCCAGGGCAAACAAGAAGACCCGTCCTCTGAGTCTGCCCAAAAACCACAACATCTGATGTTTCATGCCCAGAATAGCCCCTGCATTCCTTCGGTCTCACAGTTCGCAATAGGGGAGTGAAGCCTAAATTATGATGAATGACGAGCAAAAGACAAATTTGATGGCTGGCAAATAATAGATCTATTCTCGATTAGAGAGAGATTTTGAAATTTAAAGTAGAATTAAACAGAAAATTTCTGATTCATGCATTTTTTATTTATTTAAATTGTTCCTTTGGATTGGGGGGTTAAACCACCAAATGGTTCCCGAGCGCGGCTGTGTCTGCAGCTCACCGCTCCCCCAGGGGATGGGTCAAATGCGGAGAACAAATTTCGCACACACATCAGTGTGTGTGACAACTAATGGAACTTTAACTTTAACTTTCCTCTGAGGAGATATGAACGATAAAACGGTATTTTTAAAGTTCTCTAGGATTTTGTTTGGTGACTACTCAAAGTGTTCTTAAGAGTCATCCAATGTAGCCTGGGGTACACAGAAGACAGGTGCGCTGCGCCACGGAAGTGCCGCGGTTTTGGGAAGTCAAATGGTCTCAGAGGACTCGCTGCGCCGTGAACGCTTCTTGGAAAATCGAGCGATAGTCACAACATCACGCAGGACTTGAGAACAGGAAGCGGAAAGTGACTCTTTTGTTTATATGCAATCAGACTTGCCGTTGTGTTTTGTGAGACTCTAATTCGTTAAAAATGGGTAAGTATGCTATTTATTAGAATATTTTAAGATCAATTGTACTTTTAAGTAATCATTCCGTAATCAGGTAGCATTTATAAGCTCCTTGTCCATGTTTTGGCAGTTGGGTTTGTGCCATAGAGCCATTCCGCATCGTAATGACTGTTGTAAAGTACTCCATAATGACATAAACAGCTGCGCCATGGCTCTTGAAATAGAACAGGCACCTATCTTTAGCGCCGTGGCGCGGAGCAGCATTTCTGGGATGTGGCATTGCGCTTCCCGTGTAGCCATTCTCAGTAAATACAATAGCTTCTTTTTAGAATGACGGCACGGCAACATGAGGTTTGTTTCTTAGTCAATGGACACTTTGCTTTGTTTGATGTGTAAATCTAGATGGAGAGCCACCCTTAAGATGAACAAATGATGGTTCTAGTACAGCTGCTTCCTGATTAAAAAAACATTAATATCTGCAAAAACTGACAATCCCGTCATTTTATTTTGACGTGACTTTGCTATGGCCT